TCTCTCTCTCTCTCTCTCTCTCTCTCTCTCTCTCTCTCTCTCCCTCTCTCTCTCTCTCTCTCACCACACACACACACACACACACACACACACACACAATTTGGAACTTGTGTCCCTTGATCCCTTAATCGGACTGGCATGGGCCAATCCCCCCATCAAGTGACTGTGGGGGACTGGCATCGCTATCCGGGTCGTCATCACTAATGACAGTCTTCTTGCGAGCCATAGTGTTGCGGCTTCCGTGCTCCGACGCAGTCTTCTCRACTATCTTTCTTTTTCTGGGCTTCCAGGGCCACGCCGGGGCGCTTTTGGGGACTCCTCCACTGCTGCCTTCCTCTTCCTCCCTGCCTTGCTCTTCCAGAGGTTGTCGTGGTGGAGAGCATCGTTCAATTCACGGAAAGGGGGTGTGCCGATGTCCTCTGCTGCCTGCTGCTCTTCCTGCTGCTCCTTCCCCCTCTCTCTGATTGCAACATGCTGGTCGGTGGTCTCTCCCTCCACTCCCACTTGTTGCTCCACGCATGGGCGGGGCCTGCGCGTGTACACAGCAACCGCTGCTTGCAGCTCTTCTGCTGCGTCTGTGGGCTCCCCTTGTCGCTGCTCGCCCTTGTCCACGGCAGGCTGGACATCCCCGTCCATTTCCTTCAAGGCCTCGCCCCCGCGCTTTTCCTGTTGTGCAGCACGCCTCTCCCTCTCCTTGCGGGCAGGGATCGCTGCACGATGGGCCTCCTCCTCAGTGACCCGCCTGTCCACGATTTCACGATCCCTATCCGCCATCTCCTTTGCACGAGTGGCCGCTTCCTCGTCCGGGTCATTGTGGAGGTGCAGCAAAAACTCCACGCCGTGTCCACTCTATCAACGACCGTCGTTGGCTCAACCTTGAGATCCATGTCCTGTCGCCGTATTGGCCTACCAACATACGTGGTCGCCAGGACTGCAGGCACCACACTGAGCTCGAAATCGAAGTCCTCATCCTCGCTGCAGCCCTCCGATGATGACTCATTCCAACACTTCCCCTTCCACACATGATCCTCGAGGTCGCTGTTGTCACTAGTGTTGGAATCCTGAAGGTTTTGGGGGATCCTGCTTCTTGGAGCCTTCGCCATGTTCCTTCGCCTCATCTCCTCATCCTCTTTCTCAGCAGCGTCCTATGTATTGGTCGCCAGCATCAACCCGTCATTCTGTTGTGGCTCCATGATTGGCTCGAAGAAAGAACCCCAGACATCAAGGAACCCACTGTCCGTGTGGTGTCGAGCTCGCAGCAACTGCATGTTCCAATGTACGTAGACAAGCTTCTTGAGGGATGCTGGGGACAGACTGCTTTGTCACTTTGTGTGGACGAAGTCCATGGATGCCCAGTTGCGCTCAGCGGGGGTCGCAGTGCTCCACATCCCCATGACCTTGATCGCAATTCCCTGAAGGGTTGGGACATCCCCGCCATGTGCTGCCCACCAGGTCGGAGGGTTTAGCCTCTTCACATCGTCCACCACCACTTGTTCCCACATGTGTTCATCCTTGCACTTCTTCATAGCTTTCCCGGGCTCCATGCACACACTCTCCGTCGCAACCCTCGAGGGCTGCTTCTGGAACTCTATCAATTCCCCCCACAAGTCAAAATGTGCCTTGTTGTTCCACTCACCCCCGATCTGCCTCAGGACGAAGCGCATTGCATTTTGCATCACTCCACTGTTCTGATGGAAGAGTCGGCGTTCATTCCTCCGTCGTGGATCAAGAACGAATGCAGCCACATGAACTGGTTGCCTCATCATTTGCACGCGATCAATGAGAGGTGTGTCTTCTGCGTCCATTCTCTTCAGCAACTCGAAGATCGGGCGCATGATGTCCACAATCTTCTTCACATGCGGCCATCATGCCTCGGACCTCACTCTGTAGTACACGAGGTCGGCTCTCCGGCGCAACTTGTCCCATGACCATCTCAACGCTCTCCACTTTCCAGCCGACCTCCCATCCACCATCTCGACAAGAACATCCTCTGTGTCTGCTAGCCGGTGGAGCATCTGATACACAGATCCGAACCGGACTTTCGTTGGACGAAGCAAAGACAACAAGTCATCAACAGTCATCATCAAGTCGTGTGTGGCATGATGATTCCGGATGAACTTCACGATTGTGTTTGTGGTTTTCACTGTGCCCTTGATCCAAGATAGGTTGGCCAAATCCTTGAGGAGGAGACTGCAACAGTGTGCTCCGCAAGGAACCCATGGAATTTTGGCCACGTCATTGCGTTGTTGTAGGATCTGCGCTGCCTTCTTGTTAACTTCACCGTTGTCGGTGTAGATCGTATTGATGCGTTGCAATCCAATCTCCCTCATTACTTGCTCCCACAACTTTGCCAACGCCACTACATTTTTCTTCCTACCACTCATTGTCACCATCGCCATGAGCACCGCCCCTTGCTCCCCCGCGGCCAAGAAGTTCATCACTGGCCGATTCATGCGGTCAGTTGACCCGTCAGTGATGAACGTGCATCCAGTCAAGTCCCTGCAGCTCGTCATCGGGTTCACCTCCTTTTGGATCTTCATGTAGATGATGTCTAACATGACCGTCCTCATGTAGTTGTACGATGGGAGCTTCACCTTCAGCCTCGAGTTGGCTACCTCCAAGTGCACGGCGTGCAGTGTCTGAGTTGTGTCCATGTTCAAGAAATTGAAAGCGACACCAGCCCTGAACATGGCCTCCGCCCATGCAATGTCCAGCTTCTTCTGCGCCGCATTGTCCACCCACCGTCGCATAGTGGTCTGTCTCAAGGTAGACATTCGCGTTGTGGACCCTTGCCCTTCCTCCCCGCCTCCGCCGTCCGCTGCACCTACAACTCCAACAGCCTCATCAAGTGCATCAGAAAGCATGTTTGCAATGCGGGCAACTGCCCACCCTGCAACAGGCGGTGGCTCGGGCTCGTCTGTCTGCAGATCTTCCGAGCCTTCCTCTCCACATGATGCATGACCACAATGTACATCTGATTCGGCCTCGCCTCCCTTGTAATTCCTCAACATGTACTTCGTGTTCTTGTCGTTTGGCTGCACCTTAGCACCGCCAGCAACAAGAGTGTGGACTATCTCAACCTCGTTCATCATCACCCCCCTTCATGGCCACCAGTGAGATATGACAATAAATAGAATAACAAACAGAGGAAGAAGAGGAGGAGGAATAGGAGCGACAGGGGCCCTTTTTTTCGTCCGGCAACGGCAACTGTGGCTATGGCTAACAACGTGGAGAAAGAAGAAGAAGAAGAAGAAGAAGAAGAAAGAAGACGAGGAAGAAAAGGAAGAAGTTCAAATAAAAAATAATTTTTTTATTGGCCTTGGCTATGACTACGTTAGTGGGCCAGACCAGAAGAAGAAGGAGAAGAAGAAGAGGAAGATGAAGAGGAGGAAGACGAAGAAGAAGAAGAAGAAGAAGAAGAAGAAGGAGAAGAAGGAGAAGAAGAGGAACAGGATGACCTAGAAGAAGAAGAAAATAAAAACCGTTGCCTTTCGAAAATTGGCTATGGATACGAACGAGGGGGATAGAAGAGGAAGACGAAGAAGAAGAAGAAGACGAAGAAGATCAGGACGGCGATGAAGAAGAAGAAACAAAAAAAATAAAAAAGGTCATAGGCTGAAGCTATGGCTACCAACCATGAGGGAGAGGGTGAAGAAGACGACGAAGAAGAACAACAAAAGCAGCAGTTAAAAAAAAAAAAAGGAGGTCTAACTATGGCTATGGATATGGCTACCGATGTGGGGGTAGCAGATAAAGAAGAAGAAGAAGAAGGAGAAGAAAAAGAGGAAGAGGATGACCTAGAAAAAGAAGCAACAAAAGACGTTGCCTTTCGCAAGTTGGCTATGGATACGACCGAGGGAGATAGAAGAAGAAGAAGAAAAAAACCTTCGGCCCCGTCTCTCTCTCTCTCTCTCTCTCTCTCTCTCTCTCTCTCTCTCTCTCTCTCTCTCTCTCTCTCTACTTTGCAAACTTTGGACTTCAGTTCTGCCAGAAGAAGAAGATAGTAAGAAGAGGAAGAAGAAGAAGAAGGAGAAGAAGATAATAATAATAATAATAAGAAGAAGAAGAGGGTAGTATGAAGAACAAGAAACAGACATACTCACCTTTACCGATGGACGGTGGGCCGAGGCGATGGCGATCCGAGGCCGGGGCGGACGTGGGCGGGAGCTGACGACTTGCAGATGGTGTGGGGGGACCGACGCAGTCTCAACCTCGCTCACTTTCGACGAAGCGTCGATGTGACGGGTCATGCTGCTGGAAAGCAGCTCGAGGCAGGAGGCGGGGAGTTTGGGGCGGTGCTTGGGGATGGTTGTTGGCCGCCAAGAACTTCGGGCGGTTTGCCCGCCCAAATGTTAAAAAACGGGCGGCCTATCTGGGCTGCAGATCTAACGAGATCGCCGGCCCAGATAAGCCGTCAGTTTGGGTGGGTCTACAGGACCCGATTTTTTTTTTGGGGGCCGGGAGGCCTCCACGACCCGCATGGAGGCCACTCGGCCCCGAAAAAAATTCAATAGCCCCCCTCCATCGAATTGCGCAAATTTAAACCGGGGGGGAACCGGCGCTCTCCACAGGCCGGTACCACCGGCCCGTTTCTGGTCGGGGAAGGGGCCTCCGGTGGGATCGGAAATTCAGCCTTGAACAAAAACGAATTGTGGCGCTGTGTGAGGGAAAGTTCGTTTCTATTTTTCTTTTGACTGGCCCGAGTCTCACCTTCCCTTTCATTTTGCTCTTTTGATGATTTGCGTCCGCGGGCCTCTTTGCAAGCTCACCAAATCTGCAAAATGAGAATGAACCTTTCTCTAGAAAATGAGAAAGGTACAGGGCCACAATTATTTTCGCTAGAGTGGCGCGGCGAGACTTGGGTCTGCATTTCAACAGTGCAGGGTGTGCCAACTTCGCTGGGCAGACGCATTGTGTTTTTCTCAGGGATTTTTTTTCTTGAAGGGTTCAAGGAACGTGGGCAACAGCATCGGGTGTTTGAACACACCGTCGAGCTGCGCTCAAACAGCCGTGGCAGTGGCTCTCCCTCCCTCTCTCTCTCTCTCTCTCTCTCTCTCTCTCTCTCTCTCTCTCTCTCTCTCTCTCTCNAGAGAGAGAGAGAGAGAGAGAGAGAGAGAGAGAGAGAGAGAGAGAGAGAGCTGCAGCATGCAGCATGCAGCATGTCAATGGCGAGGAGCACAAGGGCAGGCACTGACCTCCAACAAAAAGAAGAGTAATTTTATCGGAATACAAGAGTTTTTTCTTTCCGAAATCCGAATAGAAAGGGTACAGGTTGTATTCGAATACGTGTACGTTTTGCTATTCGAGAAAAGTGGACCCGCACGCACCGTTTCTATTTTGAAAAAGGACTGCGGCCTACACACAGCTACCGGTCCTACGCGGTCCCGGACCAAAACCCGTGCGGTCCCATAGGCAGCTACGGGTCCTGCAGTTTCAAATAAGATGCCACCACCTCCTAAACTGCCATGCCTTGTTTTTCCAGCCTTCTCAGGGCCATAAAACGCACCCCTGACGGGCTGCGAACTTGCCCCTCCTATGGTTATAGGGGCAAAAACACAACATAACAAATGCCAGTCGGCGTAAATTTGAGATTATAGTGGGGCCTCTCTAAAGTCCGCTGGACTGGGTCATTTTGAAAAGGTAACAGATACGTGGTAGGAGTAAGTCGCAAAGATTACAGGTCCACTGGACGTGGGGGGTATTTCACAAGCTCCTGGAAACATAAGAGGGGTAGCAGAATCGTGAATTTTCAGGGTTAGTTTACAAATTTCCTCTTCTTTTTCCCCTTTTCGAAGGGTCGACGCCCTTGAGGCTCCGTGATTCGTACTGTGATCGAAACCGTTATCGAACTGCCCGCACTTTTGGTCGGCGCTGCGGGAAAAGGAATAGTCACGCGGACCAGAGCCGAGCTGCTTGGAAACGGCGTGGGGAATGTGTGTGTGTGTGGCCCCGGTGTTGTGCCTGAGGATGTGCCTGAGGATGTGGAGAGTTCCGTTCGCACTCGGCCCGAAAAGGAAATAGGTGAGTTTGCGCAGCGTGGCGAAGTGCACCCTCTCTCTCTCTCTCTCTCTCTCTCTCTCTCTCTCTCTCTGCATCCCTCATTCTCTCTCTCTCTCTCTCTCTCTCTCTCTCTCTCTCTCTCTCTCTCTCTCTCTCTCTCTCTCTCTCTCTCTCTGTTTGAATGGGTGAACGCAACTTGAACCTTGTTCCTTTTTTTTTTCCTCCCCTCCATATTTGGTACTTTTGTTCGACGTTTTGTTCATTTTTCATTTCAATCTTTAGACGTTTGTTTGAATCGTGGACATGCTTTTGTCCTTTCTCATGTGTCATGTATCTTAACATGGAAAGAAGCCAATCAATCAGTCAATCAATCAATCCATCAATCAATCAATCAATCAAAACAATCAATCGACGAAATCAAACAATCGATCAATCAATCGAATCAGTCCAGCAGTCAATCAAGATTGCAAGTAAACGCGGAAATAGATAGTAAAGTTGAGTAAACATGGTAAGGATCTACATATGTGTCCTTGACCACTGTGCATTCAAATCCAGACACACATCACTAATAATCACAACAATGGAAATTTGACTCCTTTCTTCAAAGAATCACACACCTCAACTAAAGACTAAGCTACAATGTATCGCATGTTAAACTGAAGGAGTCGTGAATCCTCCTCCCGGTCACCTACAAAGTCAAGTCACCTCTAAGACCAATTTGTATTCTTTTCCCTTTTTGAAAAAAAATCATCCAAACAAATATGCTACACCTCTAGGAAATTTCTTTTCAATATAACAACATACGGAAAAGGAATACTTCATATAACGTATGTTCGAATATATTCAGCAACCTTTATATGTTTTAATTTTTTTCTCTCGGAGCGACTGACCGCGTGGCTCGGTAATTCACAGCCAGTCTCACTGACATAGTGACTAACAACATTACTCACATTGAGTTTTTTTTATTATGGAAAACCAAAAAATGCAAATTTAAAACCCAAAAAGAAAGGATTTTTTTTTTCCTCTCATTTTTGGGGGGAAGGTGTTTTAATAAAGATTTGTCTTTCGATTGACTGATCGGTTGATAAATTGATGGATAGAATGACTGATTGAATGATGGATCAATCAATCAATCGTTTGATGGATGAATGGATGGATGGATGAATGAATGGATGGATTAATTGATTGACAAATAAATAAAAGTGCGAGTGTATTTGTGTGTGTGTGTGCATTTGTGTGTGTGAGTGTGCACACACACACACACACACGCACATGCACACACACACACACACACCACACACATACACATACACAAACACAAACATACACACACACACACACACATACACAAACACACACACACACACACACACACACACACACACACACACACACATACACATTGATGGAATCTAATTGTTCCGTTGAAATCAATCGATTGTATTCCATTGAATAGATCTAAGAGTGTGGGTGTGGGTGTGCGCGCGTGCGTGTGGGCGTGTGTGCGTGTGCACACTTACACGCATACACACTCATGTGCACATACCGATTGTGACTGCCAATATGACTCACTTCGATTTTTTTTTTTTAATATGAAAAATCAGAGAATGCAAATTTAAAACCCAAAAAAAAAAGACAATTTGTCATATTTTTTTCTCTCTCATTTTTGGCGGAAGGTGTTTTAATAGAGATCTTACTTCCGATTGATTGATTGATTGATCGATTGTTGGATAGACTAACTAATTGAATGATCGATCAGTCAATCAAATTCGATACATGGATGAATGGATGCATGGATGGATGGATGGATTAATTGATTGATAAATAAATAAAAGTGTGAGTGTATTTGTGTGTGTGTGTGAGTATGTGTGTGCGTGTGTTTGTGAGTGTGTGTGCTCACACACACACACACACACACAGACACACACACACACACACAACACACATACTCGTGCACACACATACACACACACGCAATTACTTTTCGGTATGTTTATTATTCTGCCTCTCCCCTAATTTTTCTAATGTATTTTTGTATATCGAATTGAGCACCTTTAAGTAGTGCCAAACAGTCGATCATTCGTCATTTGGAGTGCCAACGACACTCTTAGGGTGGCCGCTCGCTTCGAAATGTCTGTGTTGCGTGTGGGTGATAACGGATGCTCGTCGAAATGTCTTACTGG